CAGCAACCCATCAGGTAGGTGACAGCCGCGCTGTGACTGGAGCTTGTTAGAGGACACATTCGATGGCATCAGTTTAACAGCAAACTGAAACCACCGAGGGAGCCGCACCTCACGTTTCACCTGCACTCAAGACTGACTCAGGTTTCATGTGTCGACGTGTTTTACAGAATCTTTACATTGTTTTAAAGTAAATAATCTTGCAGAGCGCTGACAGAGCTGCACGGCTCCGTCTGTGTGAGCACTCTTCTCTCAGGTGAAGGGAATTAAAAACTTGAAATATGATCCTCATGATATTTTTTAACCTTCCACATTGTGCGCCGTATAGAAGGTAGAAAATAAAATAAAATCCTCCCTCGTTCATGTGGTGCAACTCTGCAGAAGCGGGGTTAATTAAAAGCCGAAGCTCTCACCCTGCAGGACGAGGAATGGATGGTCTCAGAGAGAGGAAGGTCATTTGTAACACTGTCTGAGAGTGGAGGGAAGGAGGGAGGCTGTAGAGGGAAGGAGGGGGGGATGGACAGAAGGAGGTGAAGATGGATGGATGTAAAGTGAGGAGGGGATCAGACAGTGGGGGGAGATGGATGGAGCTGATGCTGGTGAATGAAATGAGATGAAACTTGAATGAATCCTTTGGGGAAACTGCGCTATTACACCAACAAACTGCTCGCACGCTCACTGAGCATATAGATCACGTGTTTAATGTCCCGCAGCCTGATGATGTCCCAGACATATATTTAAAAGTCTCTGTGAAAGTTGTACAAATATTAAACCTTCAGGGATTAATACGTGACATCATTGATTTTGCAGTTGCAAATTAGGCTGATTCACGGCTCCATATGTTGACACCTTTACAGATAATGAAACCAGACCTGCTGGGTTCAATGGTTTCAGGTGGCCTGGGACAACTTGGGAAACTTTTTGTACCACATAATGAGGTGTGGTGGGAATAACCGCGGTGCTGCTTCTGTGTTCGGCCTGCAAGAACTTTGAGAGGCCGTAGAAGATGAACCAGCACACAATGACTGATGTAGTCCAGTCACCAGGAGAAAAGGTTGGCATTGAACGTTACATACATCAACGTTTCCAAAGTGACGTAGTATATGAGCTGACTTTGGCTGTGTCTGAATGTTCTGTGTGGAGGACTACACGTCTGCATGAAACAACAACATGAAAAAACACTCAGAGACTCCTCAGGTCATTTTCTCGGCGCTGTTAATGACATTGTGATTACATGATTTAATGTGTAACTTTATGCACTACGCCATTACGGCACAAATCAGAACTAGCAGCGACCCTGCTCGCTAACATTAGCTCGTGCTATTAGCCCTCCTCTGTACAGTGACTGTGAAGCACCAGAGATCACTTGCAGATTTATTTTTATTTCTTCGGGGACCGACGACACATTAAACTGACCGTTTGTTACACAGCAAAGAAAGCAAAATTTCAACGAAAAAGCAGCAGGTCGTTAGCCTGGAAATCCAGACTCAAATCTAGAAAGATTTAGAGTCTGGCCCTCACTGATACACCCTTCCTACCCAAGGGGCAGCACTAACTGAGGTATATTAAATGCCGCCGCACGCAANGAGCAGTCAAGGGGAAAGAGTCAAATTAAAGATTTCAATATTTAAAAACTTAAAAAACTAGGCATGCAGAAAAAAGTACAAAAGATACAAGAAACAGCAAAAAATACTAACAATAACTCTGACTCTGAACCAACAGCTGTGACAAACTGCGCCTGACTGCAGGTATGAATCCAGTCTTAGCTGTTATTGATCAGTCGATCGGGCCTCTCCTGCAGCTGATTGATTGTGGTTTACAGTCTGCAGGTTGTTGCTCCTGCAGCTGAATGAACTTCTTGTCTGAGCTGAGGGAGTGCAGGAGGTCAGGGTTCATGCTGCTGGTTATTCAGGGATGATGTCGGTCCTTATCTATTAGTCAGGAGACAGCTGAGACACAGATTATAATCCAACCGCCAGAATAAATGTTTGCATTCTGCAGATGACGGGTTTGTTACACACGCACATTATAATGTCACAGAAACTTGACACATTCACACAATGATGGAGTGGAACAGCCATCAGGAGCAGTTTGGAGTTCAGTGTTTTGCCCAGGGATACTTGGACATGTGGAGGAGCTGAGATCAAGCTGCCGATCTTCTGATTGGTGGACAACCTGCTCTATGTCTGAGTCACAGCCTTCTGGCCACTGTAGTTAACCACATAACATAACCATTACCTCTGTTAATGGTTAGGAGAAGATCACGTTTGAGCGTAACGCTCCAGTGTGTGGGATTTAAATGGAATATTGTGTTTATTTAATCAGCTGACGATATGAATCATTATGTTTCTGTTACCTTAGAAGGAGCTGTTTAAATTTCTAAAGGGAGCAGGTCCTCATCGCCATGATGAGATCACCATGTTGCCTCAACACGGTCTGATCCCAACTCGTCAAATATTGCTGCTTTGCCTGTGGACTCTAACATCCACATAAAGCATGCAGGGTGTCCTCAGGTGTTGACACTGTGGGACGCTGCATGCATCGCGTCTCTTTAAAATACGCTTCTGTTATTACAGAAATGTGACGGTCTCTGCTCGTTAGTTACAAACAGTCTTCTTAATCCTATACTTTGAATGTCAGTGAAGCACCTCCTAGTTACGTTTACTTCCTTGTTTGGCTCTACATTCACACAGGAAGTGAACAGCTGCCTCCTGGTTGAAAGTCCAGGGCTTGTTTGACCTGAGACTTTTCATCTCCTTATGTTAGATTGTTACCAGCGGTGTTACAAACTGCTGCTGGCTGGTGCGTCTTATAACGCTGCAAAAAGTGCCTTTGTTTGTTGGTGTCTAGATCAGTGACACAGCAGCGGTGGTGGTGTTTGACGTGTTTGGACTGAGAACAGGCAGGAACAGACGAACCAAACACCAGACAGGGACCATAGTTAGCTGCCCCTCCACTGCGAGAGCGTCAGAAAAACGCAGATTTAAAAGTGTTTTATTCAGAGTGTTTCCTGGTGTAAATCAGCTGGTGTGAGACCTCTGTGGATCATTCAGCTCCTCAACAATCAACACTGAAGGAATTCTGACCAGGAGAAGTGTCAGCTGGTTGTAATCTGTAGTCCTCACTGATAGACACCACTAAACCCCCCTCTTACATGTCAGTCCCCGCTGGAAACACAGCAGTGTTTCTGTAACACACAGCCGCTTATTGTGGCGCTAACCCTGCTGGACAAACTGTGACGGGTCACAGAGAAACAGCCACATCTGGTTCCTGCACAGCTCCAGCAGACCTGAGACTATGAGACACATCCACATAAAAACTTTATCTTGAAACAGAAGTGTAATTCCCTGGCTCTTATTCTGAGACCTGGACTCAGTGTAGCTCTGTGTTACAGCGGTCGTCTTCAGTATCTGAACACACTGACGCTCTGCACGTCCAAAACACAACCAAATCCACAATAGTTTTCTACCATTGACGCAGCTCCTGAGGCCTCAGCTGTGTGTGTTTGCACTAATTGAACGTCCCATCCTTTTGTTTGAGAGTCCAAAGTCTGCGTGTCCCCGTCATAAAGTGGAGGAGCAGAGGAGCAGAGGAGCAGAGGAGCAGCAGCTGGACCGTGACAACAAACCTCCACTGAGACGAACGTTGTGATTGTAAATTACAAAGTGTAAATGAAAGACTGCGGCCGGCGGCGTCGATGCTAAATGACCAGATCAGAGTGTGAAATATGATTTTCTGCAGCACAGAGGAAACTGCTGAGTGTTTGTTTGTGTGGATAAGACTAATTAACTACCCAGAATCCTCTGGGGCCGGGCTGCGGCGGTTATTGTCGTCTCCATACCTGAGGCGTATTACACGCTTATATGAACACACACAGGAGGTTTTATTGAGGTGTGTGTGTGTGTGTGTGTGTGTGTGTATGTGTGATGGATGGTATCGTGGAGCAGCTCTGGTTCTGTATGTCCCTCCTGGGATCCACTAGCTCTGCCTGATCGTCCACCATGACACATCCTCTTTCCATCTGTCTGTTCCAGCCTCTCTTCATCTTTCCTCTTCTCCACAGTCTCCTCCTCCTCCTCCTCCTCCTCTTCGTCTGCTTCTCCCAACTTCACATGTCTTTTATTTTGAAATGTAAAACATACGCAGACACCTCGTCCTGTCTGACGTGTCTGAACTGTTCTCTGATAGTTTGGGTGTTTTCTGGTTCTTCCTCCAGAGTTTGGGGGTAAACTCAGTTCTTCAGAGCAGGAAACTAAACTCGTCCATCTTGTGTCACAGATTTCTTTAATCCATCAGTGTTTATATTTGTATATATTTTCATGTCATACGTCCAGTCCTTGTGAACGTGATATCTAAAGAACGCCTGATGGGGATTTCTTCAAATTTGGCACAAATGTCCTCTTGGCCTCTGTCCTGTTTATGGTCAGGTCCGCCCAGTGGACGCAAACCAACAGTGGGTCAGTTTTCAGGCTGGGAAAAAGATGCATGTCCAAAAGAAAAACCCACAGTTGTGTGCAGACGGAGAAACACACCCACTTTCAAACATTGTGAAAGACTTGGAAATGAACAGATATCACCGTGCTGACCTTTTTTTTCCAAAGAAGAAGGTGTTTGAAGGAATGAAAGAAGGAGGCTGTGTTCACACGGTCCAATACGTCCACCACTGTTGGAAAACTGTAAAGAAATGTTGATGCAAAGTGACAAGCAGCAGCTTTTGACGTGATAATCAACATGTCAGGGCACATTAATCACAGTCTGCACAGCTGCATGGAAACAGGAATACTTCTGGAATGTTCATTTCATTACACGTGAACAGCTTAGTCAGAATATTTAAAAAACTTTGAGATGTCTTGTGTGTGTAAACGCCACTGCTTCGTGTGTTCTACCCCTGATCTGAGGAAGAGGAAACACTCACACGTCAATGAGGTGTTTTTGTAGAATACGATCAGATGTGAGAGCAGCAAAAAGAAGAAAGCAGAAATCACTCACAGAAAGACTTTTACATGAGGTCTTTAGATGAAGAGATGAACAGAGGTAAAGAGAGGTGAAGGTCAGTATCACCTCGTCTCATCTCCCATAACGAGTCTGATTAACTCTGCTGCTGCAGCAGATTTATGAACGAGGGCCGAGACAGAATCCTGGTAGGAAAGAGACGACAGACAGAGCTTCACTTCCTCCTGAAAGCGGCGTTCAAACCATCTTAAAGACGCAATAAAGCTGAAAGTTGGGCGAACAGTTAGATTTTGGCGTTTGTGGGCAAAACTCTGCTGTGTCAGTAAAAGAGCAGCGACTGGTCGACATTTTCTCCTGAAATAAAACGTTAAAGTGATCAAAACGAGCTGATAGGACATTAACAGTCTCTCTGTGTCTCTGCAGGGCGCCCTTCATCTCCACCCTCCTCTTCCTCATCCTGGTGGCAGGCGGCGTTGCACCAGCCGTCAGTCAGTCCAGCAACCCATCAGGTAGGTGACAGCCGCGCTGTGACTGGAGCTTGTTAGAGGACACATTCGATGGCATCAGTTTAACAGCAAACTGAAACCACCGAGGGAGCCGCACCTCACGTTTCACCTGCACTCAAGACTGACTCAGGTTTCATGTGTCGACGTGTTTTACAGAATCTTTACATTGTTTTAAAGTAAATAATCTTGCAGAGCGCTGACAGAGCTGCACGGCTCCGTCTGTGTGAGCACTCTTCTCTCAGGTGAAGGGAATTAAAAACTTGAAATATGATCCTCATGATATTTTTTAACCTTCCACATTGTGCGCCGTATAGAAGGTAGAAAATAAAATAAAATCCTCCCTCGTTCATGTGGTGCAACTCTGCAGAAGCGGGGTTAATTAAAAGCCGAAGCTCTCACCCTGCAGGACGAGGAATGGATGGTCTCAGAGAGAGGAAGGTCATTTGTAACACTGTCTGAGAGTGGAGGGAAGGAGGGAGGCTGTAGAGGGAAGGAGGGGGGGATGGACAGAAGGAGGTGAAGATGGATGGATGTAAAGTGAGGAGGGGATCAGACAGTGGGGGGAGATGGATGGAGCTGATGCTGGTGAATGAAATGAGATGAAACTTGAATGAATCCTTTGGGGAAACTGCGCTATTACACCAACAAACTGCTCGCACGCTCACTGAGCATATAGATCACGTGTTTAATGTCCCGCAGCCTGATGATGTCCCAGACATATATTTAAAAGTCTCTGTGAAAGTTGTACAAATATTAAACCTTCAGGGATTAATACGTGACATCATTGATTTTGCAGTTGCAAATTAGGCTGATTCACGGCTCCATATGTTGACACCTTTACAGATAATGAAACCAGACCTGCTGGGTTCAATGGTTTCAGGTGGCCTGGGACAACTTGGGAAACTTTTTGTACCACATAATGAGGTGTGGTGGGAATAACCGCGGTGCTGCTTCTGTGTTCGGCCTGCAAGAACTTTGAGAGGCCGTAGAAGATGAACCAGCACACAATGACTGATGTAGTCCAGTCACCAGGAGAAAAGGTTGGCATTGAACGTTACATACATCAACGTTTCCAAAGTGACGTAGTATATGAGCTGACTTTGGCTGTGTCTGAATGTTCTGTGTGGAGGACTACACGTCTGCATGAAACAACAACATGAAAAAACACTCAGAGACTCCTCAGGTCATTTTCTCGGCGCTGTTAATGACATTGTGATTACATGATTTAATGTGTAACTTTATGCACTACGCCATTACGGCACAAATCAGAACTAGCAGCGACCCTGCTCGCTAACATTAGCTCGTGCTATTAGCCCTCCTCTGTACAGTGACTGTGAAGCACCAGAGATCACTTGCAGATTTATTTTTATTTCTTCGGGGACCGACGACACATTAAACTGACCGTTTGTTACACAGCAAAGAAAGCAAAATTTCAACGAAAAAGCAGCAGGTCGTTAGCCTGGAAATCCAGACTCAAATCTAGAAAGATTTAGAGTCTGGCCCTCACTGATACACCCTTCCTACCCAAGGGGCAGCACTAACTGAGGTATATTAAATGCCGCCGCACGCAACTGGATAGCACGATGGCCAATCAGAGCAAAAAACAAGGTGACGTATTCATTGCACTAAGCCCCATTTGTTTGCCGAGCAGTGGGTCTAACTGATATATTGTGCTGTTGCCGTATCCCGTCGGCAAAACAGCAAAAACATCCTTCCTGGAAGCGAAGGCTTCTAGGGCAGTCTTCTGTTCCTCTCTCAAGGAGAAAGATAAGTGTAGTTGGCTTAGCGTTTCTTCCAAAGCTAAACTGAATGGGCGCGGTGCTTCGGCAGCGGCCATCTTGGCTATATACCTTTCGACTCCTGCGGCGCAGCGCTGTCCTCAGCATGTTACGCCTGCCCAGAACCTGCCTCTGTCAGATAGACTGATCTGATTGGTCCGATGGGCGATTCAGTGGGCTCTGCTCGTCGGGGCCAGATCCCCGTGCAGTGCAAATTCAAATTTGCTAGGGGCGGGGCATCTGGATTTCCAGGTTAGCAGGTCATAGATGTGTGATGTACATTTTAGTTGATAAAACATCAAAACATTTAATTTGATGTGTAGGCTGCACATTTTTAACCCTTATGTCAAAGCCACAGGGAGCCAGTTGAGAGGGTCTAAAGAGCCGCAGGTTGCCGACCCCTGGGCTGAACCAAACCACACGTTAACCAGGGTTTTGAAACAAAAAGAAATGTAAAGTTGTAAAGTATCTGCTGCGTGCAAATGTAAAGTATCCACGGTTTGCAGAAACGTACAGTGTCAACATTTTTTCTGGCGATTGGGTCAACTGATGACGAATGACACCAAATATTTTTGTTAGTTGACTTCAGTGAAGTTAAAAGTTCAAATTATTTTTGATTCCAAAGTCGTTGCGCTGAGATGAAGCCTGGTTAAAAATTCATCTCTTCAGATCAGAGAAAAACGTCGTAGGACCAAATTATTTATTTCCTTTGAAACATTTGCATTGAGCCAAAGAACAAAACGGGACCTAACGAAGGACCTGCAATGGGCCGCATTCCTTCCTTGCATCACCACAATGCCCGTTACTGATAATAAGCATGTGACATTCTTATGAAGTTGACATTTTTACTGTTGTCTTTGTAACATGGTGTTTTCAGTCAGTCATTCCTTTATTCAGCGTCATATTCAGAGTGTATGCTGACGATATGAAAGTGTTTGTTTAGTTTGACCTCGCTCAGTTTTAGACTCGTTCTTCTTGTGCATGTGGAGAATAATTAAGATGTTCAGGTCTGAAGACGCAGTAAAAATGTTCAGTTACATTTTTACTGCGTCTCATATATGCAGCTCAATATCCGACACATTTATTACACATCACATCTCGTCTTTATACAGAGCAGCTCCGACTGAAGCTGAAAATAAAAGAATAAAAGAGCAGCTTGTTACAGGATGGATTGATTGTGTGTGTGTGTGTGTGTGTGTGTGTGTGTGTGTGTGTGTGTGTGTGTAGGGATGAGGCTGGTGGTATTACTGTAGATGGATGGATGTATAGTGAGGGAGGAGGAGAAGGAGGTGGATGGATGTTGGAGCAGGTTTTAATAGAAAGACTAATACTCTGGGCAGGAAAACCTGACAGGTCAATTACCAACACACACACACACACACACACACACACACACACACACACACTTTACAGACGATAGAGAGCCTCCATTAATCCAGCGTTCAGTGTTCAGGATCCAGAGAACCAGCCGAGCTGAAAGCGTCCTACACTCTGAGGCTCGAGGCCCAAAACAGGCCGCTGCTCCTCAGTTATCTAATAAACTCTGAATCTTTCTTACAACTTGATTTATTGATCATTTAGATGTTGTAAGTTTGATGCTGAAAAGTTTTTGTAGCTGTGGTTAACTTCTAGTCAGTATGGCTGTGACTAATGATTATTTTTACTAGTGATTCACCTGCCTGATGTTCTCTTGAACTTTCATTATTGAATTTAAGATAAAGATCTGTGATCTAATTTAAGGGGGATTTTAGGGAGTAAGTTGTTTTGAGACACTGGAAGAGGCCGTCTGTGGAGAACACATTAGTCATCATTGTTATTATTATCACGTACTGAACACTCATCGTCTTCATCCTCCATCCATTACTCATCCATTATGAATGAGGCCTTGGAAGGAGTGTGTGTGTGTGTGTGTGTGTGTGTCTGATTTGATTGATTGATCGGCTGAAGACTGAATACTTGAGCTGAAACCGTTACTCAGTTAAATCAATTGGCAGAAAATTAGCCGGATGATTAATTGTTCTTTGAGTCTTTCTTTCAGTGAAAATCACAAAGTGAAGATTTGCAGTTTCTCTTTTTTAATTTGGTCGTCAGAAGTGTTCCATCTTCCCTCCCGGCTAAATGTTTTGGCATGTAGAAAGGTTATGAATACTACTGTACCCATGAGCCTCAGCAGATGTCGCCATGGAACAGAAGAGCTATGAATTCAGAGTTGTATCATATTCAGAAGGCTACAGTGCTGCACGCAGGAACAGGGTTATTAAAAAAATCTGTCCAAACGTTCTGACTTGACTGTTAGCCCTGTCATCCCCATCAAACTGCCCGCTCCATGGGAGTACGGTGGCTTTGGTGACGGCAGCAACAGAAAGTTTTCCAATACAGCGGGGAGTTGGGACAGTCTGGGATCAGCCCCTTGGTTGAGGATGTTTCAATACTACTCGGTTCTGGCTTTTTTGGTCAAGTATCGATACTTAGCCCCACGCTTCACCCTGCCATTAGCTGCACAGAAATGGGACCTGAAGCTCTCTGATTGGATGTTTATTGCAGCAGCTCCCTCTAGGATTCGTAGTTGACTTCCTACAGATGTTTCTGAGCCATTTCTATGAGCATGTAATTTAATTTACATTTACATTGCAAAGTTTTCTAAGCACTTTAAAAGCAACTGGTCGATAATGTTCAATAGCTTAATGCTGATAAAACAAAAGTCTTTACTTGTGCTCGAACTACCTTCGTCCCTAAAGACGCAAAGACACTGAACACAATCTTGGATGTTGTCTCCACATTTTTGAGCTGTTACAGGTACTTGAAGGACAATGAAGTTCTTGGTATCTCGGAGGAGTTTCCAGTGAAAGTTGTAAGCGTCAAGATTCAGAGTTCCTTGAGGGGGGCCTGGGACTTCTTAAAGAGCTGACTAAAGCCCTTGAAGTATTTCCTAAAGGAGATTCAATCGTCTTTTGATTGGTTCTAGAGGTCTTTTGGTGATTTAAATGCCTAAAGGGCTTTAGAGATCTTTAAAGTGGAGGTTTAAGGGGTTCTTGTGATTCCTCATGTTCAGTTACTTCTTTGCAGATGATATCCAGTTCTACATCTGAATACATCGCAAAGTTGTCTTAGCACTATACAAGCAGCTGGTCGATAATGTTCAACAGCTTAATGCTGATAAAACAAAAGTCTTTACTTGTGCCTGAAGTAGCTTCGTCCGTAAAGACGCAAAGACACTAATCTCATTAATCTTGGATGTTGTTTGAACTCTCACTGCACATTTTTGATCAGCTTCCTACATGACCAGAAAACAGCAGCTTTTACATCCACACTCTACTAATCAACAACTAATTGGTGTTTGTCTTTATCCTTAAACAATAAAAGATTTAATTCATGGGATTTATGTACAGAAAAAGTAACTTGCACAAATGTTAAATGTTGATGTTCCTCTGATTCAGAGGCTTTCCCAGCCTCACGGAAATAAATCAGGGCAGTGTGGGATATTTTCAGCTTTAAGGTCAGGGTCAGGAAACTGTCCACAAACATCAGCAGCCTGCTTACATCTCATTCACTGTGCTCTGTTTGGTTGTTCCTGTGTCAAATGTTTCGCAGCATTTCAAACCAAATTTCATAAATAAAAGCAGCAGCAGATCAGTCTCAGGTGAAGCCTGGTCTCCTTCTCTCTGACTGAGTTTCAGCACAAAGTGTTTAGTGTGCAGCTCAGATGAGTTCCAGTGTTTTAATGGAGCAGCTGCAGTGCTTTAAGCCTTTAATGAGATGGAAGTGTAATAACGTCGTTCGTTTAATAAGGCCAGTTAACGACGACATCCACTAAGCTCTGTTTGATTCCCTCATAAAAACTCTAAATCAGAGCCAGAACAACTGGACCACATCCAGAGAGGGAGAGACATCCCTCCACTCCTCTTTCTTTTCACTCCATCATTATATAATGATCAAGTTATAAAAGAACTTCGTCACAACAGCCTCAAGTTTTTCGCTCGTTCGACCTTTTGCTCCGTCCAGGACAGTGATCAGCACTGAAGCGTTTCATTGCACTGAGAGATAATGAAAAACATTTCTGACCATGGAAACGCTAAATAGACTTACAACGCATACTTACACTAATGTTGATGGAGCGGCCATGCGGGACGCTGACCCGTTCACTGGCAGACATTTGGGGTCAAATGTCTTGCTCAAGGACACTTCAGCAAGAGTCAGAGAAATATTCCAGAAATATTGCAGCTCATTTTGCAAAATGTTGTAACTTCTTTCTTGAAGTATTCCAACAATATTAAGACTATTTCATCAGATGTTCAGACTATTTTTTTAATGAAATATTTCGATGTGGTCCTCAAAATATCCAACTTTTTTATTTTTAGAAACTGCTGTTTTTCTGACTGTTTAATCTAAATATTTGGATTTCGTTCAGTGTTCCTGATTTTTTTTGTGTGTGTGATGTTTTCTTAAAGATGTTGTGGTTAAATGTTTTTCTCTTGGTTTCATTTGAATCACTTTCACACAGTTGTACACATTGTTTAAGTTTGCAAAGACTATTTTCCCGAGGCTTGTTGTCCACACTACAACTACAAAAATGTGCTACTCTGTGTTTCTAGCGGGGATTGTGCCCCTAAAACTAAAACATGATCTCTTCCTAACCAATGCAGAGAGTTTTTGTGCTTGAACCAAACCACATGTTGAAACGTCAAGTTTAAACATGTCCGCTATGTGATAACAAGTGTAACCAATCCGTGTTTTGCAGAAATACACAATGCCAACATTTTCTCTGTCTCCCTCAGAGCCCACGTGCTACGACTGGGGGGTGTCCAGCGAAGGGGCGGTGTCGGTCATGGAGGGGGAGGCCGGCTGGCTCTCCTGCCCTCTCTTCTCTCACCCCTCCGTCTACAACTACACCTCCTCCCAGAGCGCCGGGCACAACCTTGTCTGGTATCGCGTCCCTGAGGGTCACGATGTGGAGCAGCCAATCCCCTACAACAGGAAGGTCAACAGGTACAACAGGAAGTTCTGATCCACTGATTATTTACCTGTTTTATGCCTCTGTGCCAGCAGTAGTGTGGCCGTCCACTGGTGACTCTAATCTTGAAACTGTGCTGATTGTGCAGATCTTCTGTGTGTGAAGCATCCATGTTTTCACAGTAAGAGGAACTTGACTGGTTTGCAGAGGCGTAAAACTGTGAGGCAGTAATTATAGTTTACTCTCTTCATTCATAAAGTTACAGCAGAGTCACTACAGAGCTGCCGTAGTAGCGTAAAAGGTGGTTAAACTCAATGTTCCTTAGCGGCTCGATCGTGGGCCCTCAGGAAACACGATGGATTGATGCATGCACTTCTCAGTCTCTATTTTAAAAACCAATCTGGGATCATTCAGACTAATTGAGACACTTTGAGAGTAACTGACTGATGAAGAGCGGCGTAACGATTTCCCTTCCAGACAGGATGTATGGTGTTTTGGAGGCGAGCAGCTCGATTAGCGTCACCAGACTTAGAGGAGGTTTGTTCTAATGTCGCTGTAATTGGATCTGATTTACGTTCATTCACAGTCTAATGTGATTCTCATCTGCAGCTCGAGGCTCAGCAGAGACAGAGACAGACTGCTGCTGGAGCCCGCCACCGCCGCCGACAACGGACAGTACATCTGCATGCTGCGGTAAGACGTTCAACTGTCAGGGTGTGCTTTGTTTCACGTGGAGTTTCATTTTGCATGTTAGTGTTTTATCAGCTCTATTGCAACTCCTCTGAATTGTGTAAGTCCCTGGGAGACATTTAACAAACAGCACGGCGGCCACTCAGACGGTCCACACAGCAGCTCAGAGATCAGGCCTGCAGATCCTTCAGATAAAATCAGATGCTGCTCTCTGTTTTGATCCTCCCGTCTCAGCCGCTCGACACTTAATCAGCTAAAGTGTCTCTGAGAGCGTCTTAAAGATCTGCAGCTGCTCGGCTCGCAGGATCTTATAGAAATGGAGACTCAGGGTTTCAGATTCGACCCGTCAGCTGGCGGCGGTCCAGGCCTGCATGTGACAGTTCATTTCCTGAGAAATGAGGTCTGCAGGTCACCGAGCTGAGAGGATGAGGAGGGACGCCTTTAATCACTGCAGGGTTCTGGTCTGTGCAGGGTGCTTTAGGGACGGGATGCTTCATGCTGCATCTTTAGTCAGCCAATCAAAATGCAGCAAATGAACATAATGAGAGTTTTAAAGACGGCGATATGTTGGTTGCACTGCAGCTCTGACTGTTAGTGTCAGTGAGTCGCTCTCTGTAGTGACAGAGCTGACACGAGAACTGATGTGCACACTGTTGTTTCAGGACCTTTCTACTCTCACTGGAGGAAATGAGGCTCACGCAAATGTGATCTGATGAACAGAATTTGTCCACATTTTTCTGTGGAATGACATCACACACACACACACACACACACTGTGAGTCAGTCAGTGTTTTAATGGTAGATGGAGATAAGTCTTCGCTCTCTGCCAGGAAGTGCATTACTATTTCTGCTGAAAGTCACCAGAGATGTTATCAGACATTCAGGCTGATGACGATCTCAGCAGGATGTTTGTTTTTCATTTACTAATAATGAAGAAGAAATGACTGAAGCTTTACTCTCATTTATAATACTCTCCTGCTGCAGGTCAAGACCACTGTCACTTCTCTAAACAAGCACTTCCTCCTGATACAGTGGACGACACACGGTCATAATCTGACTTCCCAAACTTTACTACTGTGACTATTTATTAAGGCCTGTGACTAGGGCTGCCCCCCTGACTAAGACTGTTCCTAGTGGACCGACAGTCCTCACCAGGGTCCATCAGTGGACTAGTCTCCTGCATGTTTCTGATATGAATGTAGTGATTAAATGATATATTTTGGTGGTTTGAGTTGAAGGTGTGAGAAAGAATAGTATCAGTAACAGTAGCCATGTTTCCATCAGCCTGTTTAGATGCGCATCTAGAAGTATCGCATCTGAAAATTTTGGTGGAAACGCCAAAATTCAAATTAAAATCCCCTGATTCGCACAAACTAAAATACGCTCGCTTTAGCTGGGTTTTGGTTGATTTAAAAAAAAATGTTGATTCGCAAAACGGGGGATGGAAACAGTTATGTTTGAATTAAGTCTGACGTAGTGCACCTCTCTCCATGGTGATATCCACACTCCGGGTCGAGAAGGCGGTAATGCATTTACAAGCTGGTTGCCAACCGCCAGAAAACGTAGAAGAAGAAGAATGCGAGACTTGTTTTGTTTCCGGTTCTGCGGAAAACTTGCGCGAGTTTGTAGTTTTCACCAAAGTCCGTACATTTAATGGAAACACACTTTTAATACGCATTTCCCAATGATTCAAATCACTTTTGGATGGAAACACAGCTATAGTTAACACTGTGCTACATTACAGAGAAATACAAAACCGTACTAATGAACCTTCATTAATTGGTTTAAATCTTATTTATCTGATCGTTTTCAGTTTGTTGACGTTCATAATGAATCATCCTTACGTACCAAAGTTTGTTTTGGAGTTCCGCAAGGTTCTGTGCTCGGACCAATCCTATTTACTCTATATATGCTTCCTTTAGGCAACATCATTAGAAATCACTCTATAAATTTCCATTGTTATGCGGATGATACTCAGTTGCATTTATCGATGAAGCCAGAAGAAAGTAATCAATTAACTAAACTCCATAACTGCCTTAAAGACATAAAAACTTGGATGAGCACCAATTTCCTGATGTTAAATTCAGACAAAACTGAAGTTATTGTTCTTGGCCCCAAACAACTCAGAGACTCTTTATCTGATGACATAGTTTCTCTAGATGGCATTGCTCTGGCCTCTAGCACTACC